TGACGGTTTCCCTGTGGAAGTGGCCCCAGGGCCCCCGGCTTCATCACATTTCTATTTGCACTTTATTTTGCTCCTCTCCCCACTTGTCCCGGGGCAGGCTGGGTGGTCCACATGTGACCCTGGCCCCCTAACCCTACTGTGGTCAGCCCTCAGGGACTGGAGCGGGGTGGGGGGGTGGGCACAGGCGTGGCTGTTATTTATTTAATTATGTCACCCAACAAACTTGATTGTAAATAAAAAACAAAGTCAGTCTCTTATATACTTTTCAAACTCTGCCTCTCGGTGCTGATTTTGTCTCCTGTGTCCTTCAGGGAGCCCAGGTGAAGCAGCAGGTTAAGCGCTGGGCCTGAGCTGGTGGGGGAGGAGCGGCTGCTCTCTGTTCACGGGCAGACAGTGGCTGCTGCAGGGGCTGTCGACTCATAGGACCCTGTGTACGACAGAACTGAATACCCTCACGGCTCCCCCTCCCACCTCAGCACTGACATTTCCCTGAGCCTGCCAGCTGGGGTCACTGTGACTCGTCGAAGCTAACAGCAACCGGAAGACGAGCCCAACACACCAGCCACCTGTGCGCAACCCCTCAAGATTCGTTTCAGCCCCGCCTGTCCCCTTCGCCTGTTGAGTTACAGTCACACCAGGCCCTTTCCAGTCACTTGGGTAGTAAAATCGACTACAGACAGAGACCCGGTGGGCTCCCAAGGCCCCCACCGTTCTGGGAGCAGGCTGCCTGACCTTCCTCCACTGGGGAGTGTGAGCAGTGCGCAGCTGACGCACAGTCGTCAGGACACTGCACAGAGATCAGGCATCCTGCCGCAGGTCCCTGATAAGTACCTGCTGCCAAGAAGATGTTCTCCAGTAACGGCCTGCCAAACAGTGGGACCTGCCTTGGTGTGCCCTGCCGTGGAATGGCATTGGGCCACGCAGCCTGAGGGGCTGCTGGAACTGGCCATGGGGGCACCCTGTTTCCCAGCTGCTGCCTGGCGCAACCCGCCCTCGGAGCTGGCCCTGGTTCACGTCCCAGCGGGCTGCCCCATGGCTGCCCCAGCTGTTATATTGCCAGGGTGGCCCGCATGCCCGGCTCTGTGTGTCAGTCTTCAGGTTGGGGGCCTTGTGGGCGTCCAGCTGGTCCAGTGAACCCAAGCCCGCTGCCTCCAAGGGAGCCCATTTGTTCCCACTTGGCGGCCCTGTGGGCCGGAGCAGAACTGCCACACAGGATTTCCTAGGCTCACCTTTCCAGGCCTCATCTTCCTCCCAGGGAGCAGCTGCTGGGCTTGAACCACCAGGCCCCAGGTTAGCCCAATGCTTAACCCACGATGCTACCAGGTTCCTCTCATCCAGTGGCCCTGTTAACATGAGTCACCTGAATGGGTTGTCGGGATCCCATCATGTGCCAGCATGGATGGCAGCCGGGGAGAAGCAAGGAGCTTCCCTCTGACGTGCTTGTGAGGGGCCTCAGGGTTGGCTCCAACTCCGTGTGCAGCAGAAACCCTCCCGGGCCTGCACCACCCTCCCAATGACGGAGCCCGTGGCTGCAGCCCCATGTCAGTTCATCTTGGTCAAGGACCTTTCCTCTTTTCCGCTGCACGCCACTTTACCAAGCATGGTGTCCTTCTCCTGGGACTGCCCTCTCCTGAGGACACGGCCAGAGTACGTGAGGCTTGTCTCGCCTTTCTCGGCTCCAAGGAGCACTCTGGCCGCCCTTGTCCAATGACAGATTTGTGCTCTAGCCATGGGTGGTCCTTCCAATGGGTCTACCAACACTGTAATTCGACTGCGTCAATTCTATCGCCTTTATTATTTGTCCAACTTTCACATGCATAGGAGGTGATCGAAAACGCATGGCTTGGGTCAGATGCCCCTTTGTCCTCAAAGCCCCACCTTGGTCCTCGCGCTTGAAAGAGGTCTTGTGCAGCAGATGTGCCCTCTCTGTTGATTGTGGTGGTGTTGACTGGTTCAGGTGGGAGGGTTTCTTTCTATCTTTGTTAAGGTGTTATCCACACTGCAGGCTGTGATCTGTGATCACCAAGTGCTTCCAGTCCTCTTCACTTTCGGCGAGCACGGTTATGGGGTCTGCAGATTACAGGTGGTTAAGGAAACCCCCTGCCCGCCAATCTAATGTTGAGTTCCTCTTCGTACAGCCTGGCGTCTGCAGGTCAAGAACCTCAGACTCTGCCACCGAGCAGATTCCAACTCGGACAGACTACAGGACAGGGTAGAACTGCCCCTGTGGGCTTCCGAGATTCCAACTGTGAGCGTGGGAAGCTTTGTCTTTCTTCCAAGGAGCAGCTGGTGGTTTTGAATTGCCGGCCTTCGTAGCAGCCCAGCGTGCAACCACTATGCCACCAGGACTTACTCCTGGGCCTTACTCTGCCCTGTGGGCCATCCTGAGTCGGAATCGGCTTCACGGCAGTGAATTTGCTTTTGAGAACCCTGGTGGACTTGCATCAGCAGGGACCCGGCCCTGGAGAAGAACGTGCTACCATGGAAAAGATGGGGCAGGCCGGGCAGCTTCCTCCTGTTGAATCTCCCCCTGGCTTCTAGGCCGGAGTGGCTGGCCGGACACAGGGAGGGAGGGCGGAGGAAGCAGGGTAGATAAACCACAGCCCAATGGGGCTTGGCGGACACCATGGTGCCCATCCCTCAACATTCTGCTGGTCTCGTCCCCACTGACCCCTGGTGCTCACTTCCCCCGTGTGTGAAAAAGCAAGCTTCGAGCAAGTCATTTTGTCCATCAGCGGGGTCTGTCTCAAACTGGACAGGGCTCCGGGCCCCTGTAAAACTCACCATATATGCGCGTGTATAAGCCGAGTTTTTCAGCACATTTTTAATGCAGTTTTTGTGGTAAAATTAGGTCCCTCGGCTGATACTTGGTTCGGCTTACACTCGAGTATACACAGTATGTTAGAACTCAGATGGCAGTAATTCCATTCCAAACCGTAGCTCAGCAGAACTAGACAGGTCTGTCTTGTTGGATGAGGGAGGTCAAGGTCAATGTGGGAATCAACTGGACTACCAGAGAGTGGACACTCGGGCAGTGAGGCCGGGTCATGGTGGAGGGAGCACGGGGAGGCAAGAACAAGAGCGTGGAAGACTGACTAGTTGTCCCAGAATGGTGGTGCCTGTGGAAACGGGTCAGCGGTGCTTGTTGCCTGTGTACGTTCTCTGACTGTTGATTCTTTAGGTGTATACAAGGGAAAAAGCTCCACTGGGCGGGGCTTTCATAGTACGCATTTTTCCCGCTAGGCGAGCATCCAACTTGCTCTGAATTAGTGTACCCAGTCGTGTCACCTGGGAAGGCTCTCTCTGGTCACAGTAAATTTTTTTGTGAAAGCAGTTTTGCTCAAACCTCATTTTTTGTGATGGCCGGCTTAAAAGAATAGTGCATGCCTGTGAATTTTTGTTTCCTGCTCAGAAAAATGCCGCAGGAACTGTTAAGTGATGTTGAACAGTTTACAAGGACAGCGCTATGGGAAAAGCTCAAGTGTACGAGTGGTTTTCTCATTTCAAAAAGTGTTGTCAATTGATGACAAGTCTCGTTCTGGACATCTGTCAACTCTTCCTGAAAGGTCGAAAATGTTGACTCGTAGTGCATTTGGACTTCATCGCACCAGGTCAGACTTTAATCAAGCTTTCCATTTAGAGGTTCTGAAAAGACTAACAAAAAGGGCCTAATTAGTGGCAGACAGGGAATTGGTTTTGTCACCATGACAATGTACCTGCTCACAACAGCCATCTCAGTGCACCAGTTTTTGGCCAAAAAACCAGCATGCCTCTTGCCCCACACACCTTCCTCACCTGACCTCACGCTGTGTGACCTCTCTCTTTTTTCTGCGAATGAAGAGAGACATGGAAGGATAGCAATTTGACTATGTAGAAGAGGTGAAGAAAAAACCGAGGAAGGTGTGTCAGCCATCCAAAGAGATGAGTTTGAATGTTTCCAAGAATGGAATTCCAGATTTGACAGATGTATTAAGTGTAATGGAGAGTATGTTGAAGGTGATAACGATTGTTTTGTAAAAAAAAAAACAATTTTCTAAAATACCGAGCTTTAAAAAATACCCATTCTTTTTTTTTGGGGGGGTACCCCTTTGTACATTCTGACTATATACATTTTCTGAGTATACACATTCTCTGTATATATTCTCTGAATATACACATTCTCTGGCTGTATATATTCTGAGTATATACATTCTCTTGCTGTATATTCTCTGGATATGTACAGTCTCTGACTATATATTCTCTGGCTATATGTTCTCTGAGTATATGCATTCTCTATATATTCTCTGAGCATATATACATTCTCTGACTATTCTGAGTATATACATTCTCTGGCTGTATATGTTCTCTGAGTATACATTCTCTGGCTGTACACATTCTCTTGAGTATACACATTCTCTGTATATATTCTCTGAGTATACACATTCTCTGGCTGTATATATTCTCTGAGTTTACACATTCTCTGGCTGTATATATTCTCTGAGTATATACATTCTCGCTGTATATTCTCTGGGTATGTACATTCTCTGACTATATATCCTCTGGCTATGTGTTCTCTGAGTATATACATTACATACATTCTGAC